TTCCATTCTTCTCAGAGTCGTCCACAGTTTGTTATGATCCACACAGTCAAATGCCTTTACATAATCAATGAAACACAGATAGACATTCTTCAGGTATTCCCTGCTTTCAGCTAAGATACATCTAACATCAGCTACAATATCCCTAGTACCCCCACCCCTTTTAGACCCAGTCTGGACTTCTGGCAGTACTCTGCTGATGTGCTGTGCCAGTTGTTTTTAGATAATCTTCAGTAGAATCTTGCTTGCATGTGAAATCAATGAGATCGTTCTATAGTTTCCACACTCTGTTGCGTCACCCTTCTTCAGAATGGGAACAAATATAGATCTCTTCCAGTCAGTTGGCCAAGTGGTTGTTCTCCAGATTTCTTGGCACAACTTGGTGAGCACATCTGTTAGCTGAAATATGTCAGTTGGTATACCATCTATTCCTGGGGCCTTATTTTTTGCTATTTCCTTCAAAGCAGCTTGAACTTCCTTTATCACCCTAGGCTCTTGCTCGTATGTGATTTCATTAAAGTCTTCTGTGTCTACAAGTTTCTTTTGATACAGTGTCTCAGTATATTCTTTCCATCTTCTTGTATACTTCCTGGATCATTCAATACTCTGCCTAAAGCATCCTTGATTATAGCAACTCGAGGTTTCAATTTGTTCTTCAGTTCCTTGAGCTCAAGAAATCCTGAGCAAGTTCGACCCTTTTGATTTTCGGACTCCACTCCTTGCACATTTCATTGTAATATTTTGCTTTGTCATCCGTGCTGCCCTTTCGAATCTTCTATTCAACTCTTTAGTATCTTGAATTCTTCCTTGTGCTTTGGCTTCTCTGCCCTCCAGTGCAATCTTCAGAGTTTCTTCTATGTGAAAGAAAAATAATGCTGAAGAAAAAGGGGATATAGTGAAAAGGGGATATAGAATATGAGGAAGCCTGAAGGAGACTGAAACTATTCTGACCTCTTGGAACAGAACCTGAGAAAGAGAAAGTGAATGGGGTGGAGGACAGAAGACAAAAGAAGGGATATGTGGCATACATAGCAACAAGGTTACATATAGTGCCATGCTCTACCAGTTTTCCTAAAACTAGGGTTATTGCTTGTGTATTGTTAAATTGGAACTGACTGGTGAAATGAGATGAAATTGGGTTTTCAGATGCAGTTAATCACATGGGAGTAGTTTACTCATCTCTCTCTCCTATAGACCAGCTGGTGGATTTGAAACATGTGTCTTGAGGATTGCAGTGTGGCTTCTTACTACAAGGTCACCAGAGTTCCCTTTAGTGACCATGCCAATGATCATTGATATGAATGTCTTTTGAGAGTGCAGGTTGTTGTTGGTATGTGCCAGCAAGTGAATTACACTCATAGCTGACCGACCCTCCAGGGGGTTTTAGAGACTGAATTGCGTGGGAGGAGATTGCCTCTCTTTCTCTTACAGAGCAGTTAATTTCATGCTTTTGGGTTGCAGCACAATTCCTTACCACTAAGCCACAGAGCTCCCTGAGAATGTAGCAGACATTCTTGATAATTATAGCGTGATAAAATGTTAAACAGCAACTGTCTCAGGGATGGAAGGTAACCTATGCTATACTGTTCTTTTATTGTTTGCCTTTTCAACCGAGAACTCTGTAGCATCCATCTACTAACTTTCCATCTCTGGTTTCCATTGTTTTCTGTTCCATGTGTTAGCCTTTTAATATTTTTCTTTTTACTCATCTAAACAAAGCTTTATTTTATTATCTCTACTTGATTATTATCTTTTTAAGGGCAGTTAATTAATGTTTTATTTCTTGTATTTTTCAGTAGAAAGCTTTATCTGACATCTGGTTGCTATCTGTGAATCAATTAATGAGAATAAGGACAATACAAACCTAAGAAAAATGAGCTCCAATGAGAAATCACTGATAAATGGGTGATTTTCCTTAAGCTGTAGCTATTGTGGTACAGTCCCTAGGAAATTGAATTGCTAACCTAAAGGCCATGCCTCTCTGGTAGTTTGAATTTATGAATGAATAATTCTGCAGGAGAAAGATGAGCATTTTCCTGCCATTTAATTTATTGCTTCAGCAACTCAGTGAAGGTTTGGGTCGAATCCACTGGAAAGCAGTGATAGTGTTTATGCTGCCCCTTCTAGCCCCTCTGCACGTCTGATGGTAGCAGAGCTGGAATCAATACTATGGTAGCTGAAGGCTTGTCCTATGTGCACTTGGGAAGGCCACAGAGCCAGCATTCTCCTCTCAGTGCCCACAAAAATTGCAAAAGGTTTAATGAAATCATGTCATCCAGACCCGTTTATCTCTACTGGGAAATTTCAGAGAGAAATGGTAGGGTGTCGAGTTTTCTTGTTTTCCAGAATGACTGTATTTGCTGGCATTTGACCGCCTGGAAGAGGATAGTTTCCTTTTGTCTTAGGGCTGCTCAGCATGTGTGCAACTGAAGTTTTATGGGTTTACAGGAGAGTTTCTAACTAGTTCATTTGGAGTAACAATATTCATTATTCTTGGTCTTGCATAATAAATTACTTTAAAAAAATTTTTTTAATAAAAGATAATACATTCTCTTAACTGTTTCTTGCAGTTTATCCTGAGTGTCAGGCTGGATTATAGGATCTCATATATGCTCTCTATATATAAAAAGGAGTTCGGAGAGAGCAATGAAAATGCTGAAATGTCTGCCAGTGGCTCGCCGGACACATTACTACCATCAGGTAACACCTCAATTATTGTGACAGCCTTTACACTCTGTAACATGTCTTTCTGAGAACTTGAAAATATCTTTCTTTTCTTTTTCAAAACTTAAGAATACTTCAATGATAAGAAAATGTAAAAATAATCTCCACCTATGACATGAAAGAACAGACTTACATTAAATAATGTGCTGAGAATAGGATGAAATTATAAGCTGTTATTTAGTGCCAGCTCTTCTCAATACATTTCTTTTGTAATCTTCACACCTCTTTGCCATAGACAAGCTATTTCTTTGTGCCATTTTACAGATGAGTAAAATAAGGTCTGAGGGATTAAGCTACTTGCTAAAGATCATGAAAAAGAGTGCAGCAGGGGTCCTCACTGTAATCTATTTAAGCTCACAGTCTGATGCCAGGGGAATGAATTTCTCCGCCTGCATCAAAGCGCAGTTTGAAATGCAGCTGTCATAAGGAAAGGTGCTTTTAAGCACCACCACCCAAATGGAGTCAGTCCTTGATGTTCCCCACTGGCTGATACATGTACTGGTTGTACAATGCACTGGTTGTACATTTTCACTGTGTATGCACTACAGATGGGAAGCTTCACTTGTCATGTTTAAGAAATGTCACGATGAACCGCTTCTTGTGTTTGAGTGTTGAAATATCACGAGAATATAAAAATGATGTAAAAATGTTATAACTGTGGTAAGAACGTTGAAAACTAACGAATATTAAAAGACCATTTTCAGTATAGTTCTGGCCTGTCAGGGAAGGTTGAAAGCTGTAACTTGATAAAGACTTATACAGTTAACAGTGTTGGAGTTCCACTCCCCCCTGTTGTTGTTTGTTTTGTTTTGAGGCCAGGTTTGTATGCAGATATAAAAATATTCTCCTAATGCCATGCAGTGCTATAAACCCTCCTCCTCTATTTGCTCTAGTTAGCTTGACAGGAATGGTTCAATAACTGTAAATATGCAGTAACAACAGGGACCTCATCTGCGTGGACCTCATCACACACTGTCTGCATCATCAGAATCACCTCTAAGGCTGCATGCCTCTACAGACAGGGTTAAGCGTGGCTAAGTGAGAAGTCCTTTTTGGCACATTCACAACAGTGTTGCTTTTATGCTTCCCAGAAGTTCAGAACCCCAAAGTGCTGCTTCCAGGAATGATATGGCAGAACCAGAAAATCTTGCTGGCGGTTGCATTGACAGTGGCATAAAAATTATTGGCTCCCAGAAACCTGACTTCTGGAAACATGAGCTCTAAGTGTCAGTAAAGGACAAGAGGAAAAAGCTAGGTGCACATCAGAAGACAGTCCTCTCTGATTTACCTGATTTTTTCCCAGTTTTCAGAAGAGATGCGTATCTGAGAGGATTATTTTTCTTTTCTTACATCTAGCTGTTTTCTTTTTATGCTTACTTTGGGTGACAAAGAAATGGTATATTTGTCATTTAAATATGTCAACCTAGTAAGAATATTTTCAAGATATTAATAGTAGGAAAGAACGAGAACTTTCTCAAAATAGAAAATAGAACTTGAAATAGAAAAAAAATTATACAATGGCCCCACCTTGCCTTGGCTACGAGAAAAAGCTATGGCTGTTTTACAAGTACATTTTGGCGAAAGACTATGTTCTATGGATTATAGCAGATAGTAACTAATGCACTTCCATGTCATCACCCATGCAAATGGCTATATGTTTATATTATGTATCCAATGATATGTGTACAAACATAGGGTATAATACATAATATAGATACAGAACCTTTATAAGTAATACTTTCTGGTCTTTAAGTGTATCTTAGATCATAGTAATAGATACTCAAAGAACTGTCAATTTCATTTTCAATTATTGATGTCTAACGGGATCTGTAGTAGCCTAAGGGTAGTTGTTGCAAGCTCAAAGACAGGAGGTTCAAACCTACTAGCCTCTTTGCAGGGGAAGGCAGACAGTCTCCTCCTGTGCAGTATATAACATTTGAACCCCTGCTAACGGGTCAGCTTGGAGTCATTTCTAACTCAGTATCACATAACAGCAAACAGCAGCAGCAGCAGCAGCAGCAGCAACAACAAGAAGTGTAATTATATAATAATTAAAACAGTTAATTTACTTTTGGTGGGATAAAAAAAGTAAGAAAAAAACACTATTCAGGCAAACATAAGATTACTGTAAATATTAGAAGTTTTAGCTGTTGTTGTGTACTGTCGAGTTAGAATAGACCCATAGTGGATCCTCTGGCAGCTTTTTAGAGCTAGTTAATCACGTGGGAGGAGCTTGCCCATCTCTATCCCATGGAACAGCAGGTGGTCTTGAAACACATGCCTTTAGGATTGCAGAGCAGCATCTTGCCACTAGCCCACCACACGTTCAATTTAAGATATAATAAAAAAATAAAAATATTATGATTTATCTTTACAGCTATCGTTCCTGATATAGATGAAATTGCAGCTCAGGCAGAAACTATGTTCGCTGGAAGGTATAGTAGTATTGATATATCTTTATGTTAAAGGTGAATAAGATTTTACTTAAATTTTTTATCCACACCTTGCTATTGTTCATCCCTTATTTATTTTCATGCTTTCTATTATTACTACAAAATTTTTGCCAGAAGTGGAGCTACTGATGTGTGGTAAAGGTGAAAATATAGCTTTTCTTTACATCATGTTATAAAAGCAGAACTCCCAAAATTCATTACCATGAAATCAATTCCCACTCATAGTAACCCCAGAAGGCAGAATAGAACTATCCCATAGATTTACCATAACTGTCTTTCTATACATATGCACACTGTCATACTTTTCTTTATTGGAGTTACTGATGAGTTTGAATGGCTGACCTTTCAGTTAGAAGTTGAACCACTTTTAACTACTATGCCTCCTCAAAAAAAAAAAAGAAAAGAAAAGAAAAAAGTGAGATGACATCAGTGTATTGGACTTTGCATTGGTTTTCTTTCTCCAAATAATCATAGCATAAGAATACCATTTAACTCTCCTGGTCTCCTGGAAAATATTGTTTCTCTGCATCTTAAAAATTGGAGGCAAGGAAATAACTTCTTTTAATGCTATTATTAACTGATATGTGAAAAATAAGACTATTTTCTGCCCATTGGAAATATCTATTATTAAAGAAAAAACAATGCCTCTGGCATGACTACCCTCTTACTGTCAGGAACTCTGTCATTTATATTTAAATTTGTTTTACTCTTTTTCGCAAATGAAACTTGTAGCAGTCAAAAAGAAAATGTTAAAAGAAAGAAAGAAAGGTAGCTATCCAAGGCAAACACTATTGAATTTCTAGAGAATATTTTATTATTGATTTGACATGAAAACCTTAAGAAATAATCTATAATTAGTGCTTTGTTCTAGTTTTATTTTTGGTAGAGAAAGAAGAATAAAGAATTATAAGACTCAAATAAAATAAAGAATTATAAGAATAAAAAAAGGATTTTTAGTTCTTGTGAACTTTACTTAATATGTAGTGTCACTAGAAAAATATATTCTAAAAATAATAGCTATCACATTTGACAATAAACTGTTTTTTTCATATACAGTGGCCAGTGATGTTACTTATTCCAATCATGTTTTGCTACTTTGATTTAATCAATTAATAGAAAACTAATTGTCTGTTGTTAGTTGACTCTGACATAAAGACTCCCAGAGATTTTATGGACAACAGAACAAAATGCAGCTCATTTCTTTGTCATCCCCATAGTTACTATCGTGTCCAAGTCCATGTTGTGACTGTTTTGCTAACGTGTCTCACTGAGGGACTCTCTTACCCTGCCTGGTCCTCTGCTTCACCAAATATGCTCACCAGTGAATTGTTGTTCTGCATCATACATTTAAAGCAATTGCTTTAGACAAAACTTTTTAGTAAACCTTTGACCTTCATTGGTTAATTTGTGGAAGTGTATTGCTAGACCTTTTTTTCCCTAGTCTTCAGTCTTTTCTAAAATTTGCTTATCTTGGGCCGTATTATTGGCCCATAAGTGCTTTTTGATTCTTAATCAAATTATTTTGGATGCTTAATTTTTATTAGGGTCTCAATGCCCAACTCATTCTAGTCAGCTTAAACTGATTCTCATCAGTTTAAGTACTAGAAGTCCCTCATCTTGGAAGCCCCTTCAGCCCTTAGGGAAAAATTAGACAGTTAATCACCCATCTTTTCAAGTGTGTGTGTTTCCTCATCAATTAAATGAAGATGGGGGAATAAAGTAAAAATGTTTTACTTTTTAAATAGCCTAACTCTAGGGGGAAATAGAATTCTGAGGATCTATATCCATTTCAAGAATTAATTTGATCACTAAATAATAGATGTTATGTAAATAGAAGTTATGTTAGAATTATTTTTTTGCTTTATAGAAAGGAAAAAACCCCAGTTCAACTGGATGATGAAGGTGGCAGGACATTTCTGCGGGTGCTCATCCACCTCATCATGCATGATTATCCTCCTTTGCTGTCAGGAGCTCTGCAGCTGCTGTTCAAGCATTTCAGCCAGAGAGCGGAAGTGTTACAGGCGTTTAAACAGGTACTGATGAGGGACTGTCACAGCGCGATGGGTGAGGCTCTGAGAATGCTGTTGGTAACATGCACCCTGAGTGAGAATGTGTGGCTTTTCCTAAGGACATTGTTTATTTGTTGGTTTGTTTATACATGTATACATACATACAAACATACATACTTTTTAAAGCATGAGTGGCCTTGACTGATACCAAAATGCGATCTGTTGTAGAAAGCATTTCCCAAACAGGATAGTTAGTTAATATTTTTCTTATAAATTACAGATATTAGGATTTAGGAAAGCACTTGGGTATAATACCAAATTAGCAATTTTGTTGCCACAGCTTGCATTTTGGTGCAGTTTCCACTGATAAATTTGGGCAAGACAAGCAATAATCCTGAAATAAATGTTTTTAACTAAATGACACATCAGGCTAAGATGATAACTGCTTTGGACGTCATTATTTTTCTTTTTTATCATTATATAAGGTACAGATCAGTAATGCCTACATGCTTATATGACTTATTAATATTGAAGGGAACTTTGACCTTTGTGAGGAAGTTGTTGTTGATTGATTTGGAGTCGAGCACGACTCATAGCGACCCTCTGAACAAAAGGCCTGAAGCTCTTCTACAACTATTGACATTTATCAAAGTTCATAGAGTTTCCAGAGGCATTTTGTTTAGGAAGTGGATGCCAGTATGAGGAAGTTATGTGTAAATATATTACTTAGAAGGCTAGGAATATGACTATAAGGAGCACTGATGACTTAGTGGTCAGGAGTTCACTGCCAACTCAGTGGTTGCTGGTTCTAATCTGCTGGCTGCTCCATGAGAGAAAGATGGGCACTTTCCTCCCATGCAGTTTACTGCCTCTAAAAACCAGCTGGAGGGTCTCAGCTATGGTTGCTTTCCAATTTGATGGTACCTATCAACAACAATAATGTGTATGTAATTATATATATGTCACTTACTATGTAGTTAAAGAAAACTTTCAGGTTAGATTTTATATATCTCTTTTATCCCCACTTTTGTCTATTGCTTTCTAAATAGGTAAAAATCTCAGCAAATTGATTTACAGATATTTTAGGATATCTTTTAACTTAAATTACTGAACTATATCTTTTATAGTGCTATTTTCTTTTCCCTTTAAAATTTTTTCTAACATGAGAATATATTAGTTAGAGTTTTAAGATGGTTCCAGGTGAATTTTCATGGTTAATAGACATCTAAAATAATCATTAAATTTCCCCAAACACTAAATTTTTGCAATTCAACTAAATTCAACTCATTGCCATTAGATTGGAATTGATTCATAGCTGAGCCTATAGTGGTTTTCATGGGGTGTAAATCATGTGGGAAGAGATTGCCATCTTTCTTTTATGGAACCATTGGTGAATTGAAACTGCTGTGAAATGTGCAAGTTTTGTGTTGGAAGTGTAACTCTCTACAGACTATGCCACCATTAAGCCTTATCGAAATGACAAATATGTTTATGGACTTGGGAATTTAGGCATAATGGAAGTAGGAATAAAAGAAATTCTGTAAGTGAGTTAATACTTCTAATTCTTCTATTTTCAGGTGCAATTGCTGGTCTCCACTCAAGATGTTGATAACTATAAACAGATCAAGGCAGATCTAGATCAGCTTCGACTCACTGTGGAAAAATCTGAGTTATGGGTTGAGAAGAGTGGAAGTTACGAGAATGGGGAAATGGGGGAAAATCAAGTCAAAGGTGGTGAGGAGCCAAATGAGGTTGGTTTTAAAAATCTATTTTTAAGTAATCCAACCAATGCCTTTTCATTCATGTTGTCACTGTTAGGTTCCATGAAGTTCTCCAGCTCCTAGGAACCTGTGGACAACAGCTTGAAACATTGCCTATCATGCATCGTCCTCATACTCTCCACCAAAATCACACCCATTGTTGCTCATTCTTGTAAATAATATTTGTGATTATATGCCTTATAGTCAAACCTATTTATAAACCTTTTTTTTGAGCAAGAGAGTATATAATTTCCATTTGCTAAATCACTTGGTAAGTCTATGCTTCATTTAATTCTTGTTGATTTCTACTACTCTTTATGACATCTGTTTAATTTTTAACTCTCCTTTACATGGTAAATTTTATAATCAAAAGAGAATTAGAAGAAGAGAAGAAAAAAAAAGAGAGAAGGTGCTGAAATTTGAGGGAAGGCTTAACTTTTAGTTGTCAACATTCACTGAGGTTATTTATTGCCAAACCGTAAAAAGATTCTGTAAAAATTATTATAATATTCTTATATAATAGTAAATAAAAATATAAGTGGAAGGACATTATGCCACGACAAATGTCCTAGAAACCTATGCTTAATCAGAAGTATAGTCAAGTGATGATCTTATGTTTTCTTTTAAAATAAATTTTAATGTTTCTTTTAAAGCAGTATTTTAATATATCGGATTAGATGGACTACTAACAAATTAAAAATTAACAACCCTTACATATATATCTGGTATTTTATTTAGTTTTGTTTTTCATTTGTAAGAATGTAAACTATTTAGAGCTTTATCTAGCTCAAGTTTTGTATTTGCTGGAGTATTCAAAGCATTTTAGTGTAGTGGGTGATGCTAGAGCAAGAAGTAATTAGAGTAATCAAATTATGCTAAAAATTCTGAAAGGTACTGAGAAAGAGACTTGATGCCTTTGTGGTGCTGGAGAAGAGTATTGAGAATACCATGGACTGCTAGGAAAACAAACAGATTCATCCTGGAAAGGGTTAAACCGGGTGACTCATTGGAGGCAAGGATTCTGAGGCTCCGTCTAACATACTTTGGACATGTTGTAAGGAGGGACCGGTTCTTGGAGAGGGACAGCATGCTTCGATGGTTGTATCGGAGACAGTGAGATTGGCACAGGACAGAGCAGAGTCTAGGGCTGTTGTACATAGGGTCGCTATGAGTCGCAAGTGACTCGACGGCACATAACAACAATTGTAACTAAGAGGTTACTACTTTTTACCAGTTTGCACTAATTATCACTTACCTACACAAAAGTTTTAACTGTTAAGAATTTTTTTTCCATTTGATAATTTAAGAAAGTAGAATTTATATTCATGGATAATTTTTTTGACTAGTCTACTTAAATCACACACCATCACCACCTCCAACCAAAAGATTTATACCCTTGACAACAAATGAAGAACTGACATGAGTTATCATTGATTCCACTATAGAAGGGTTTTGATTTCTCATTCTTCTATTACATATTTAGTAGTTGTTATAAACCAAGCTTTGGTGGCCTGGTGGTCAGGAGCTCTGCTGCTAATCGAAGACGTGCAGGTCAAGTCCACCAGCTACTGTGTGGAAGAAAGAGGAACAGTCTCCTCTCATGTAGTTTGTAGCCTCTGAAAACTCATGAAATAGTCAGTTATGAGTTGGGCTCTATGCTATGGCACATATCAAACAACATCACCAAGTCTAAATAACATCACCAAGTCTAAAGATATTATTGTGCTTTGCTTAAAGCATTTAGGTGCTAATCAAAAGTTTGGTGGTTTGAAATCACCAGCCACTTGTGGAAGAAGGATGAGGCAGTCTACTTCTGTGAAGATATGTATATCCTTCAGAACCCAAAGGGGCAGTTTCAGCCTGTCCTTCAAGGTCACTGTGAGTTGAACTTAACTTTATAGCAGTGGATATGCATTACATCTTAGACATTTGCATATGTGACATCTCTTTTGATGTCACAGCACTATCTGGAGATGTAAAATTTTCTCAGTTGTACTGAGAAACTCAAAGAATCCCAGTTTCTTAATGTCATTCAGCTCAGTGTGATTCAATCGAGATTTGAATCTTTTTTTTTTAAATAAATTACAAGCTATTTAATGTAAGATTATATCTTCTGACATATTAAGATATTAATAGATGTGTTCACAAATTGTAGTGCCTCTTCATTCTGAAAATATCTATTCATATATTGTTGGTTGTTGTTTTGTACTGTCAAGTCAGAACTAACTCATAGCCGACCTTCCAGTTTTCAGAGGCAGAAAATCACATAGGAGGAGATTGCCCATCTTTATCTTTGGAGTAGCTAGTGCCTTTAGTTTGGGTACTTACTGCTAGGCCATGAGAGCTCCCTATCTATTTCTTATTTTTATCTTTTATGAGGACTTTTATGGGTGACACAAAGCCAGCTACAGAGGAGGTAGAATCAGATGTTTGCTGAGGACAAGGAACCTTCTTTGCTTTTCACAG